TGTCAGCGGAAAGATTTGGCAGGGAGGGTAGGGAGAGTGGGGAGGGTGGGGGGTGGGAGAGAATGGGATGGGGGGAAAAGAGAGAGAGGGAGAGAGAAAGAAAGAAAAAGAGAGAGGAGACAATTTTAATAAATTGAAAGTTGTATCTACCTCAGCACCTCCGAGACAGAGGAATCGCTGTCATCAGACCTAGGGGCAGAAAATTAGCAGGATTATGGGAGAGAAAATCCCAGACAAGAAAGGCAGCAGCGGAGTCAGAGTGGAGGGTTGTTATTGCATCTCAGCAGGTGGGGCAGCGCGAGACAGGAGCATACATAGAAACCAGGGAAGAGAGGGCAGAGGAGTAGGAGGGAACATGTGGATCGGGCAAGAGACCTCTCAGTCTGCAGGGTGAGGTGAGGGTAACTCTGCTGGACTCACGCAGAGCCCAAGGACCATCCTGAGCATCTTGTGTGACCTGCACAGAGCAGGCCGGAGAATCACCCCCGGCACCCTGTGCCTTGAGCCCACAGCTGGGGATGGACGAGTCTTTCTAAGATCCCTCCATGCTGTTCATTATCCAAGACAAACCGCTCTATTGAAAGGCAGCCCCCCCACCCGCCAAGCCCCATGTTCTGCACCCATGAGTGTAGGAAAAGCCAGAGAGTAATTCACTCCCCCAAGAAGCACTGAGGACAGTGGTGTCCCTGACCTACATACACCATCACCACCACCTGGAGAGCCTACCAGTGCCCCAAGTGCACCAGCTTCAGGCCAGCAACACTGTTTGGAGCTCTTCAGGGAGATATAAGGCAACTGCTGTCAGAGCCCTGGGTGCCCTGCACCATTGCTCTGCTGCTCCCTTGGAGCTGGGTTGAGGATCTGGCCTATGAATTTTCAGGCCGTCTCAAGGTAGCTTGTTATTCTGTGGAAACCGCACAGACACGGAGAGCAGCTCCACCCACCTCCCCAACACAGCCCACCAGGAGTCAACCCTGCCTGGCACCCCTCACCCACCAGGTGCCAGGAATCAGGGGCCTGACCCAACCACTCTTGCAATCAGTGGGAGCCCTTCTGAGGAGCCCCGCGGTGGCTGAAGCAGGCTCAAAGGGGCTGGATTTGACAGGCTTTCAAGGTGCATACCACAGCTGGTGCCCCCAGCATCTGGGAAACGGCCTCCGTGTTGCGTAGAGATCATGTCGAGACCCCTCTCCATTCCTAGCATAGGAGGCTACACACATCCACAGGGAGGGGATTGTGGATATGGCTGTGAACTGGTGCCGGCTTCCTCTATATCCCCTTTATAGATTAAGGCAATCCCATGTGGTGAAATTCCACCCTGGGCAGGGACCCAGCACAGCAGCCACCGACACGAGGGGCTCCCAGAATCGGGAGCAAGATCTGATACTGCTGGAGCTAAAGACCTCCAGCTCCCTAGTCAGGCTATAACTAATCCTATGGCCTGTGAAGGGGCACCGAGGGGACCCATGACACACTCACCATAGGGTTACATGTGCACAAGGCCCAGGCACATGTGAACACTGTGCTAAGATGTCCAACAGCACTACAACACGGCCCAAGTAATGCCAAAGCCCAGCAGGTCACTGCTTCTGGATCCCCAAACATGAGCTTTTTTTCTCCTGCCTGAGCTCAGGCTCCAGGCTCATTAGCCCTTGCCGGTGCTGCCAAGGAGCCGACGTGAGGTCACTAGGCAGGGCTGAGTGATCCCGGTATCCATGGAAATACCCACAGCCCTGGTGCCACCCAGGGGGGCTGTGACCCTGCATGGGAGATTAATGCAGCAGCTTGCCAGCTCACCCACTTCACCTACATTGCTTCAAAAGCCTGAGGCCAAATTGCATGCATTTGTGACTTGATGGGTCTCCAGTCAAGCCCTTGCAGGTGGCCATTTCTGATGCGGGGTCCCTGCTGTGACTAGCGACACTGGAGGGGGTGTTGGCTGCTAGGATCCTTGCTGGACCACTGTAGTTAGAGGATAGTGAAGCAGAGTCCAGCCTGGCTCCCACATCAGCTCTACCATCAGGGAAGGCCCAACAGCAGGTGTGGAGGGTGTCAGGGCAGCAAGAGCCCAGCTGGGAGTCCATGGTTTTGGGATCATTCCTGGTACTAGGTGCTGGACTACAGAGCCCTTGTCATTTGCTGCCTTGGCACTGAACGCCCCAGAGCCCTCCCACCCCACAAGGGCCTTACTTGTCCAGCGCAGACCCCTGGCTCTGGCTGCTCGTGAGGCGGGAGAAGACATTGCGGTCATTTCGTGGCCTGGTGGGAGGGGATGAGGGAGGAGTGAAGCCAACATCCGAAGTCCTGAGTCATGTTGAGAGAGACACCACAATTAGACACCTGCCTGAAGGAAATGTCCTATCCCCCAATTCATTCCCTGCCAACACATCGGCCACCCCCACCTCCAGTCCCCCACGTACAGCATGCAGACCCTTGCTAGGCAGCCATCAGTGCAGCCCATTCACTCCCCCAGCACCCCAATGCTGGCCTGCCACCTCCACTCCTCTCCTCCTCTTCAGCCCTAGCTCCCTCCAGGGTTTACCTGACAGGCTGTCCACGGTCATAGGATTTCCTCCTCGTCAGAGGTGAGGTGTCAGAGCCGCGGGACTGCCTTGGGCTGGACAGAGTGACAACAGGTCAGCAAGCCCCTCGTGTTGGCAGAATGAGAATCAGCCCCTGCCCCTCACCCATCCCAACAGGGGTCAGCTCAGAGGACCCTGCTAAGCACCAGAGAGGACACATCTAGGTATAGGCAGGAGGTTCAAGTCCCACTAGCACCATAAGCATGGATCCAGGGAGCCACAACATTGCCCGGCCTTGCACGAATCTGATGAAACTCTGCTAACAGAGGAGGCAAATCACAGGGCCTTGGACACAGAATGTCCCATTATCCTGCAGAGGTTGTTTATAGGGGATCCCAGTTCTTCCCTCTCTTCTCTGGTCCCCACCCCTGCTAGTAGCCAGCACCTATTTGCTATCCATCCAAGATAGCGATGTAGGCGTTCTGAGGTCATGTGGGCTGGAAGCACTTGCCTCGCATGCTGCCTGCAGGGTGAGGGCTGAGGTACTGAGACACATTCGTGTTCAGCTCCTCAAGACCCCATGGGCATTTGGGGCCTAGGCTGCCCAGGACTTACAAGGTGCTCCCACGGGTGGGCAGGCTGATGGTGCGGGACACCTTCTCTTTGTAGTAGGGATGCTGGATGGAGAAGCCAATCCCATCCTCCTTAATCTCCATGAGGGATGCCAAGGACTTGGTGATGTTCTTGGTGGAGATGTCCAGTGTGGGCCCCAGGCACTCAGCTGACACAGCCTTCATCTGTCCCGAGAGCTTGGGTTCCCCCTAGAGCAAGGTACAGAGAGGAGAGGGTTGAGGGATTCACTGCTCTGTGGGGATGAACTTGTTATGCATTCAGTGGTACATTGTATTTGCTATTTCAGGAGTTTGAGATACCAAGGCCCTTTCACTATGTGCCTCCAGCAGCCTCTTCTGCTGCTGGATGCCAAGCCTAAGCCTGTCTGAGGTAGCGATACAGCCAGGTGCTCATTGCCTGCATTTGCTTTTCACAGGCTTGCTAGTGAGGATAACAATGACCCTCAGTGTCAGGTTGTTCTCTGAGGTCCTGCAGGCACAGTGACACCCCCCCCCCCCCCCCCCCCACACCCCCCCGCCCTGGAGGAGTGTGCTCTGCACACCCTGGGCACTGCACACACTTCCCTTGGCATTCAGATCTGCAAGAAGCACAGATGTACAGTTCACAGAAACCCTGGCACAAACAGCCCAGCAACAGGGCACCAAAGCTCTTCAATGGACTCCAGTGCCCCAGGGAGCCCAATGAACATGAGGTCCAGCCGCTGGCTTGTCCCTAGCAAGCCAGATCTGCTGCTGTTAAAGTGCTGGCACCATCCCTCTTGGGTGTTCAGTCTAGGGTTTTCTCCACCAGTGCAAAGTCTTAGACCCCACAGTGGGGTCACCATCCCACCCAGCTGCAAAGCATAAGAAGGGAGGAGGTCTGATGGACCAAGCCCTGGCTTTGACCTGGCTCTTTTACCCCCATGACAGGGCTTTGTTCAGCTGCACAGCAACATGTGCTGTCTGGGATGTGAACTCACCTTAAACTTGAAGTCATCCTGGCTGGCTGAGCCCTTCATGGAGAAAGACTGGGAGAAGCTGTAGTGAACACAGAAGGTTAACAGTCAGCCCTCTGAATTTGTCTCCAGGGACGCAGACTGAAGGAAGAAGCTCCCTCACAACTCAACGACTGAGTCCCCACCTGGCGAAGGTTTCTCTTCCCTTCCCCAAACTCCTCCCCAGGATAAAGCCCAAGATTCCCCCCTTCCCCTGCAGTGGGGAGACCTCTCCACTCCCACCCAATGTAGTCACTTCCCAGCTCCTTCTTGCCCTTGCCCCTTTCTGGCCCTGACCCTGACTGAAGCAGCCTGAATGGGGATTCCCTCCAGCAGCCCCAAACCACACCATTGTCCTCCTGCTACCCCACCTCATAGGGCTGAGCAACCTTTCTCCCCAGATTCCCTGCCCCGACCCCATTAGAGGCATTCTGGGCTTTGGTGGGGAGCAAATGTGGGGCACACCCCAGCCTCTCTGGATGTACTCACCTCCCCTCTGAGGCCAGGCTGAACTCCGAGATCTCCTCATCTGTGCTGGCATAGCCATTCTCTATGCAAGGAACAGGTACTGTCAGTGGTGCGGTGGGAAGGTGGCACCCCTCCAAGACTGATCCAACCAGCACCAGGCAGCAGGAGGGCTCAGATTAGCAAATGGGCTTTTAGGAGGTGACAATGTCCCCTCCTGAGAATCCCAGACACTACAGTAATTGTTCTGCTGACTCCTGTGCCCCCTCATTGCTGGACAGGAGTCCCCTGCCTGTGCTTCTACAGCAAGGTGGCCGACTACTGCAGTCCAGGGGATGTTGGAACAATCCCTGAACCTACAAGGGGTCTAACTAATTCAACATCCCACAAGAGGGTGGGAACTCCCTGGCAAACACCACTTTCAGAGGCTAGGAAGTACACACTTCTGCCAACCCCAGGCAGAGCTGCTGCCCCAACCAGTGCTCCCTGTCCATGGCCAGGCATTCCTAGGTGCCTCAGGAGCTCCCAGGAGGGAAAGGCCCTATGTCTGCTCCATAAGCAATGCACCCACCTTGCTGCACATTGTGGATGAGCGCCTGCAGCTCAGGATGAGACTCTGCCTTCTCCCGCAAGGCGTCCAGGATCACGTGGTTCTGAGAGGAGCTGGTCACGTCCGTCTGCCTCAGGCGCCCCTCCAGCAGGCGGATCTGGGCTTCTTTCTGAGCCACCTGCAGCCCCTGTGTGGACGGAGCAGACAGGTAAACCTCAGCCTTGCACGCAGAAGGGCCTTGCAGTTGGGGCAAGGAATCAGGATTCTTGGGCTCAACTAATTCCACCCCTCAGCTAATGTAGACCTTGCACTCGGGTTTTGTTCAGTTGCTTCTTATAACCCATGTACCATACCACTGTGACAACATTCATATGACAGGCTCTGTCACCTCTGTGCCAACAGAGCAGGATCCTTTGCCAGTCTAGGTCAGTGGTGCTCAACATTTTTCCCCAGCAGGCCAGGTGAGCAATGCCTAGTTCATCCACAGCCTGGATCCAGCCCCAACCCAGTCCCATGTGGGGAAAGGGAGTGTGACCCAGCCCAGCCCCAAGGGTGGGGAGAGGATTAGGAGGCTTGGCCTGGCTCTGACCTGCCATGCAGGGCTTGGGGTTTGTGAATTTGGCAGGGGAGCCGGTGGCCACATTAATAGCCACCACTCCCATGCCGCCAAATTTCCATACCTGTTGGAAGCCCTGACTTCCAGCTACTATGGCTCTGTGGGTCACATCTGGCCCATGGGCTGAGCACCCCTGATCCAGATCAATGCACAAGGACATCACCCTGTCACAAAGCTCCAAACCCTGAGCCACCACCATCACAAATCCAGATTTCAGGCCCGGACTTAGCCTGTCACTACTGAGATAAGAACCCATGGGAGGCTTCCTGATATCATCTGCTCTGCCACTTCCACAGTCCCTAGCAGCACCCTTGCTGCATCCACAGGTCTCAATCCTCACCTTATCAATCGAGGCCTTGAGGAAGTTGTCCAGCAGGAGACGTGCCTCAGCCAAGGAGCAGGAGCTGATCACCACCGAAGTGTCGATAGAGTCCAGCTCTTCCTGCAAATCAGAAGACCCCCCAACAAGGAAGGGAATTAGAAAGCTGAAGTCATCCAATGGTCAAGATCCTGAAAGGCAGAGCTGAGGAATGGTGGCATGACCAGCACCCCGCACATGGACACACACAGGCATGAGGGCATATGTTCTCTACACAGCTACCATACAAGTAGTGTGTCAAAGCTGAGTGTGTCAAAATGCCAGCCACCAGTAATCTCACTTAAACCCTCATCTAACCATTGTCCACACAGATCTCTGCCCAACCCCAACCAGAAAGGAGGTGCTCTCTGTGCACATACAGGACCCAGCCTGGCTCATAGTCTTGGCTCAAACTGGATGAAGCTTTCTAGACTGGTATTCAAGCAGATTTATGCTCCCAGAGCACTTACTTTTCCCTATCATCTATAAAGCACTACACTCACACAAGCCACCACCATCACAAAACCAGATTTCAGGCCTGGACATGGCTAATGATGCTGAAGCCCTTCCATTTATAAACCTACAAATAACATGCAACTCAGGTCTCATTGTGCCCCGAGTCTGTTGGGCTCTCACTTATAACAACATCCCAACTGTGGACTGAACCATACACCTCCAGCACCAAGAAAAAGACCTTCTACTGCTTGGTTTACAGGGCTAAGTCACTGACTAGAAGAAGCATCTACTGACCAGTCTATTAACGAGAGTCTAATCGATCTACTGACGGGAACTAGCCACTAGAGGGAGAGCAAAGAGCTGTATTTGGCTCCTTGGAGTTGTCTCCCAGCCCCGAAGACTCACAGTTTGCCCGCAATCTTCCTTCAAAGAATTTATTTTATGAAAAATTGTTTTGACAAAAGACCTCCAAAATTTGCCCTTAAAAGTCTTTCAGAAGAAAGTTTTAGATTTCTGAAAAGTGAGAAGCCTGAAAAATGTTAAGTTACTAAAAACTTTAGAAAAAACAAGAAACCTATAGTTTCCTACTGGGGGAAAAAAAGCTGTATTTTATTCATGGGGAAAAAAGCTGTATTTTATTCATGGGATATAGAAAAAAAAGGGTGGAAGTTTCCCCTGAAACAGCCCTCGATATTTTTAACTAATGTCTTGTACTAGACCTAGGCTCAGTTCAGAACACAAGACCATCCCCAAAGGCCTTGGCTTCAAACTGAGCTATACAAGATCAAGGGGGTCGTTGAGCTTGGGCTAAGTCATTTCACCTGGGAGGTTGTGTTGCTAAAGCCCGTGCTTTAACTATGTTTGAGCTCCAATAGGAGCCCAGCTTAGTGAGAAGGTGCTCTTTGTACACATACAGGACCCAGCCTGGAGAGGCCAGACCATAGCCATGCTTATCCCACAGTTCCTCTTGTGTTCTCTGATCTGCACACCAGTGCGAAGTGAGTCCCAGCAAGGATACTGGGCCTGAAGACTGGCAAGGGAGGTTGGGTGTGTGGCAGAATAGGGGAGTCAGCAGTTCCTTCCACAAACAAAACAGTCCAGGCCAGGATTGAAGAGGACTGTGAATGATGATGATGACGACGACATTTAGGTGTCTCCTAGATCCTGGTCTGCAGAGAGCTATTGACTCCAATTCCCATCACAATGTAGCTGATTCATGGTCCCAGATGCCCCCAGACCATTTCCACCACATTCTTTGGCCTGACTCATGGGCTAGGGCAGCCTATTGCACCAACATCTGCAGTGCTCATGAGCACGCCAAACAGAGCATTCACAGACCATGTTACTGGACAACCACAGTGAGCAACGGACCTGCAATGATGGAAAATACTGTCCCTTCTCATTAAGTCTGCATAGGAAAGGGGTATGATCTAGCAATTTTTAGCAGAGAACTAGGATTCCTGGGTCCTTTCCTCAGCTCTGCTTGTGAGTGTGTGACCCTGGCAGATCTTTTCAATTCTGCTCAGTTCCCCTGTCCATGGTAATGCTGCCTTGGGCCTCTTCATACAGGACCCTTCCCCTGCTCCCACCCCACCAGAAGTCTCCATTCTTCTCCCCCCACCACCTTGGTCTCCTCGATCTGCATGATAGTGGCCTGGCAGTCAGAGATGCTGTCGTTGATGTAGTCTATGTTGGCTGTCAGTGCCTCAATCTCCTCATTCAGCTCCTGCAGGCCCTTCTGCTCCTCAGGGCTCTCGGCCTGCAGCTTCTCCCTCTTCCCCAGCAGTGCCTCTTGCAACAGGGACAGTTCCTCCCGTTTCTGCAGGGCAGAGGGATGGAAAGGAACCAAGTTCATCCAGCACCACCTAGGCATTATCAACATGCCCAGCACCCCTTTGTCCTGCCCATGCTCCAGCCATCCCAACCTTGGCAGCCCTCCAGGCAGCCCAGTGTTCCCAGAAGAACCAGCCCCTTGGTCTCACCTTGATCAGGCGCTCCATGTCTGCCTCCAGGTTGACGATGGTCATCCTCTGCATGACAATGTCAAAGATACGCCGCTCCAATGACTGCCACTTGAGCCGAGCCGCCTTGTTGAAGGTCTGGCTCATTCCCTTCTTTGGGAACTTCTTCCTGCATGGGAAGGATAAGCGGTCAGGGCACTCCAGCTGCTGCAATCTTCCTGCATAACCACTCTGGCCAGGTGCAAGAGCAGTTCTTGCCTCTGCCTAAAAGGGGCTTGCAGACAGACAGAGCCTGCACTCCAAGTCCTCAGACACTTTGGAGGTTGTGCAGAAATGGGGGGTTCCCCTGGAGGCACCCACCTGCTTTTTGACAGACTATTGCCAAGATGCCTGGTCTTTTCTTGCCTGTCCACTCCTTCAGGGTGATTCAGTTTTAAAGCCACACTACCCAATCTTTATAGCCTGCTTTTCAGGCAGTGTCCAACATGTCTGCATGTGTTCCAAGGTGTCTTAGGTAAGGGAGCTACACAGCAGCAGGAGAGACCAGAAAGCAAGGACACTAGCTTGGAAGCCTATTGTTACTCTGCTGCCAAGAATGGCAGGGCAGATTGATAGTGGTCAGGACAGAGCCAAGCCCAAAGCAGGGGAAACAGGGGGCCACAGAGTGGGATGGAAAGTCCCCTGCAGTTGCAGAAGGGAGCCCAAAGTCAGGAAAGCAGGAGTGGTGGAAGGCCAGGTTGAGACATTCACATGCCAAATCTAGAGTGTCCTGCAACTGAACAAGTGACAAACCCATCCCCACGTGTAGCCTGGCCTGGAAATCTGCTCCACTCCAAACCCCAGGAACTTGGGGCCCAGCCCAAAGGCCAACCAGGGGCACAGGGCTGTGCAAGTCCTCCTCAGTGGGTGGCATGGGCTGGGAAGAGCCAGCCTGTTCCCAGCCTCACCTGACAGGCCGGGCGCCGTTCAGGGAGGGTGAAGGGTCTCCCAGGAAGTTGTTGATTTTCCGGTTCCATTGGCGCACAATGCTGGAGACAGAGCGTGACCCGGACTCCGGTTCCGATGAAGTGGTGCTGGCAGAAACCTCTACCCCTGAGTCCATCACCGCCAGCTTATGACCTGTCCTACCAGCAACACGGTCCGACATAGGTTTGGCCAGGCGACGCAGGGCTGAGACCTAGGCAAGAGCAGCCCCTAAATGACAGGCTCAGACACATGATCCTCCCTCAGAAGCTCAGGGGATGTCACCTCCAAGCCACCAACTGGCCAGGCCTCCAGCCCCAGCTGGGTCTCCAACTTCCTGAGCCACAGAGTGCCCACTAGCTCCTGTCTCAACTAAATGAGCATCGGGGCTGTGGTCTTCAAGGCAGCACACCTTTAAACAGACCCCAAGCTATCCGGGGAAGGGAGGAGGCCCAGTGTCCTTAGGTGGCACTTTCCTGAATGCATCAGGATCAGCTGGGGAAATTAATGGGATCCAGACACTGAAGGCACTGAAGATGGGATCAGAGAGTCATCTTGTGAGCAAGGCCACATGGCAGGCACTGGAGTCAGCTCGGTGGCAGGGGAAGTGACCAACTCTGCTCCGGGATGCAGTGGAAAGCAATGGGTCAGAGCAGAGTAGGGGCCCTGTCCCAGAAAGGGGAAGCAGCAGAGACAGAAGATCTGGGCAGGAGACACATTGCCCATATTCTGTCCTCTCCTGCCCGGTTTTCCACAGCCACAAAAATCACCTTACTCCTTGGGAAATACACACACACAAGGCCAAGTATCTCATTACAGGCTTGGCTTTACCTAAGTATCAGTCACTGGGACAGGGCCTCAGTGGAAGCAGACAGCGCTGCTCTGCTCTGTCTGCAGATAGTCTGGCAAGGGGGTCTGGCACAATGGCACAGTCCAGGGTGCCCACCCCATCAAGGCAGCAAGCAGCTCTCCTCTGCAGCTCAGGGCCGCCACTCACCTCCTGAGTCTTCCTTCTCAGCACAATTTCCTGCTGGCGTTTCTGGGACTCCAGAGCCCGAATCTGAAACTACAAAGACAAAGCACATCCCTAGCAGAGCCCTGATTGAGAGCAAAAAGCTAAGCTGGTCCCTGGGTGTTGGGGTCTCTGCTCTGCTATAGCGCTCGTGCCTTCAGATCAGCTCATCTCCTGGCTCAGTCCTGTCCTGCTGGTCCACAGGGGCTCCCCTGTAGGTCAGCCCAGCCCTACAGGTGCTCTCCTGCTGCTCACCCTGGCTGGGAGCTGCTTCTCAGCTTTGCTCTGCCGAGATACAAGGGCTGAGAACATGCATCAGAACAGGCTCATTCATAACTCTTCCCTCCCATCCAGCCCAGAGAAGCCTGGCTTGGGGCATCACTGCAGGGAAGGCTTGAGCACAAGACACCTTAAAAAACCCAGCCTCACCGCTCTCTTGCTGCCCCTGGGTCGGACGCATCTCCCACTTGGATGCATTCCTCTGAGCTCCAGTCCTAGCCCAGCAGCTCAGCCAGCTCCCACCCTGGGTACTGCCCTACTTGTAAGTCACTGGAGGACTTGGGGCACTTACCTCCTGCCTGCGCTGCTCCTTCTTTAGCTGGGCAATCTCCCTGTTCCTCTTGGTCTCTGCCAGCCGCCTCCGCTGCTGCTCCTCCCGCATCTGCTTCATCAGTGCCACCTGTGGGGGGAAGGGCAGTTGTGCCATGGCACTCACTGTGCCAGGTCCAAGAGGAGGTCCCTACCCACAATTCCTAAGGGTAGTAGTGTAACAAATGGGTGGGCAAACTGGGCACATGCTCCAGGCACTGCATATGGGGAGAGGAGCCAGAAGGACAGGAAAAGAAAGAGGGAAGGGACACCTCATCCTCTCATCCCCTGCTCCAGCTTCAGGAAGCAGTGGCACAGGCAATGTGCATGTTATGGGAATCATAGTGTTACAGAGAGGCAGTGGAGTTTAATCATAGAGAAGGCTGAAAGGAACCTCAAAGAGATCATCTAGTCCACCTGGGGATCGAACACGTGACCCTGGCACCACACACTTAACAACTTGGCTGCTGCTCGTGGGAGGAGAATTTTTTGCCCCCCAAATCAGCATTTTTTTGCTCTCTCAACATGGGCTTTGGCACAAAGGTTGTAGTGACTTCATTGAGTGCCCAGGGCAGAGGTAGGAGAGCACATGGGGGTATGCCACCCACTGCAGGGTGGGGGGCAGGGGGAAAAGACATGGGGAACAGACGGCTTACATTCCCAGGCTATAGCTGCTGCTGTAGCAGCATCAGCTGCACTCAGGCAGCAGCAGCTTCATGGCTGGACTCCCTGGGAGCCAACCCTGCTGCCCAATTCATGCCCTCCACCCATACATCCATGTGGGTGCAGGGCTGTAACTGTTGTGACCCAGACTCGCAGGAGGCTCTGCCCCACCTGCTTCCCGCCCCCCCAGACACACTACTTGGTGCAGAGCTGCTCCTGGCTTGGCAGACTCCTGGAGGCGTGATGCTGGTGCCCCCTCCTAGCTAGCATCTGGGTCTGGTACCCCACTTGCCTCATCCTAGTTAGACTCCTGCTTCAGTGGCAAAAAAAAAAAAAAAAAATGGGGTGAAAATCCGCCCCCCCCGGGGAAGCAGTGAACTCCACGGCCACTCTAGAGAACGATATCCAGACTGCCTTGCACTTCATGACATGCGCTGCCTGCACCACTGCTTGCTGCTGTGTGGGGGAAAGGTGAGAGGCCTGCCCTGGGTGCATTCTTTGCATGTTATGCCCCTGCCTAAGGGGGGCCCTACTTAAATCAGGAACAGGAAGACCCCACATCTCAACAGCTAGGCAAGTTGGGCAGCACTATTGGATGGACAAGTTCTACTTGGGTAGCTGCAGGAGGGGTTTGTGCCAATCTAACCCTCTGCCATTCAAGCCAACCCTCATCACCATGTCACTAGCACAAGGGGCTGCACCTGCACCCACCCTACCCATGCAGCTCCCATTGCCCCCATGGTACCTTTGCTTTCTTCATCTCTGCCACCTCAGCCTGCAGCTTCTTCAGCTCCCGCTCATAGCGGGACTGGTTCTTGAGCAGGCGGGCGTGCTCCTTCTGGGCTGCTTGCAGCTTCTGCAAGTCCCGGTTCATCTCCTTCAGCCGTTTCTCATAGTCGGCCTTGATCTTGTTGGCCTTCTCCTCTGTGTAGCATTCCATGGTGCCTGGGGAGAGGCGCAGGGGTGCTGAGGGTACTAGGGGACTCTGCTGCATCTCTTATGCTCAGCCCCACTCAGGCCCCTCTCAAGCAAGCAAACCTGCCAGGCCTTATCAGGAAGGGCTTCGTATTGAGCCTTGGGCATCAGGCACTGAACCCTGCCTGATCCAGCAGTTCAAGAGACAAATGAGGGGAGAAGCCTGACCTGCCCGTTACAGGGACAAACACCTGAAAGCAGGTACCCCCAGTCTGAACTAGAGCTATAGCTTGGCAGCAAAGGCACTCGAGCCAGGTATATGCCAGGTAACAGTCCCACGAAGGGTTTGGCTAAGGCATACACAATTCACCTCCCAGCTGCCATTTCATTCTAGCTCCAGCTGATGCTGGGTGACCCTCAGGTGAAACATGTCTTATGGGGCTCAGCCTGAGGCAGGACATTTGGTTACCAGAGCAGTGAATTTAGTATTGATGGAGAACCTTCTCCAACCTCAGAGAAGGTTCCTGGGACTGACAAGGACCACAGGTATGGGGTTCTGGGCATGGGAAAGATGTCCTGTTGCTCCTGCTCTAGGGAGCCACCATTCCCTCTCTGGGAGGGCATCAGGATCAGCATGGAGACCAGCTCATCCACAGACTCTGCAGCTTCAGGCACGGCACTCAATGCCTCAGTTTCCCCATGCACCCAAGAGGAAAATAATTCTTTGTGGCCTGACTCCTGTGTGGTAAACACTCATGAATGCCTGTTCAGTGCTGTGAGCTCCTCAAGGAAGTGTCAGGGAAGGGAAAGCACTCTCCACCAGCCCTGAGCTCACTGCCTCTCCAAAGTCAGCTGGCAGGCTGCAGGGGTGGAAGGTCATGGGTCCCCAGCAGCTTGCCCATCAAGGGACGGGGTGAGTCAAAAAGCACAGCACGGTGACTCAAGAGTAGCAAGTAGGAAACCCTGGAAGGATCTGATCCAGAGGTTGGGATGCCTGACACCAAGCAGGAGCGGGGAGCTGCTTCCATTCAGGACTTGTTCAGTGCCAGGCAATTCAGAGCCCTCTGCTCTCAGGGCTGGCTGGCTGCAAGGGCCAGCATATGGGTGAGACTGCCTAGATACTGGAGGGGGCAGGGGTGGGAGGAGGAAGGGAAGTGACCCCTTACTGAGGTTCTGCAGGACCCGGTCCCTCTCTAGCTGGGTGTCCCGGATCTTGTTCTGTAGCAGGATCAGCTTTTCCTCATATTGATGCTTGAGAGTCTGCAGGCGCCGCTGACTGTTCTCCAGCTCATCTATCAGCTTCTGCTTGATCTCAATCTCACAGGTCAGGTCAGCCAGGTCAGCTTGGAAATTCACTGCTAGAAGCCAGGAGAGACAGTCACCATCAGGCAAAGGGGGCTGGGAGGCAGAGGCAGGCAGCTACGTGCTTGGTGGGGATGGGGGAGTGAAGGCCCTACCCTATGGTAGTCCCACCCAACCCAGACAAGGCAGCTCTCCGAGGTGAGGCACCTGGCTCTTGTGGGCTTAGCCTAAGAGGGCCAGCTAAGGGGCACAGCTGTGCCAGGGTAGGGACACCTTTCATCATGCAGGCCTGTGCCAAGGGGTGCCAGCTCCAGCAGCACCACCTAACACCCAGCAAACACTTCTCCAGTTGAGACCCAGACACCTCTCCTTGCAGTTGCACTGCAGCCCCCCACCACCTTCTCCACAAAGCACTTGATGCCAGCAAGTGAACATAGTTTCTGAGCCTGCAACAGACTCTCTCAGCCCGAGGGGTCCCCAGGCAGGTGCTGGAGATTCCCAGCACCTGGAGTCAGTGACCCGAGGGGACAGCACCCAGCCCCTTGTTACCCTTCTCCTCGGGATCAGAATCAGAGTCCGCCAGGCTCTCGTCACTGCCTGAATCCTCGTCTTCGTCCTCACGCCCGTCCTCTTCCTCACAGCCACTTTCATCCCGCTCTTAGACAAACTCATGGCTAGGACTGAGGCCAGGAGCCTTCAGCCTCATCCTCATCAGCTCCAGGGCTTAGTCTCTTGCCCCTTCCCAATCCCTAATCTCAGGCAAATTAACGATGGTCTTCAAGGCAACAGTAGGAGGCAGGGGCAGGCTACAGTCGGTGACAGCTAGCTCCCCTGTGTTGGCCAATTCAGGGCCTCCTCCTCTCACCCTGCAGGAGGCACAGATAATTCCTCACTCCTTCCAGAGCAAAATCAGGAGGTGGGTACGGTGGAAGGGCTCGTATGTCTGGAGAGAGCTTCTATGGACAGGTAACACCCTCCCACCCAGGACAGCAGCTAAATATTCAGGATCCTGGGGGCCCCTCAAATAGAAGCTGGGAGAGGCAAAACCGGGACATGGCTCAAGGGATGGAAACCCAGTAGCAATAAAAGGCACACGGCAAGTTGTCCAACCCTTCCCACTTCCACGAGAACAAGGCACAAGCAAGTGATAGTGTCTCCCTCTACCCTAAACTTCTTAAGTCTAGACAGGGTCAGATAGCAGCTGCTACACAACCTACAGGGTTGTCTTTGGTGCGGGATTCCTGGCTACAGATCCTGCTCCCAGGACCTCCTGCATCTGCTTGCAGAGCCAGGCTGTGCCTCAATCCCCTCCCAATGGTGTGCCAGGGCTCTCCTCCACTAGGCAAGATGATGAGAAGGTCATCAGTGTGGTGGGCCAGCAGGCAGGCAACCAAAGCCCACCCACCTTAGCAAAGAGGAAGCCAACCACTTCCCTCACCTCCTCCACTTCGTTCTCATCCGTCTCCTCCCCATTGTCCTGAAGCAGCTTCTGCCTCTTCTTAAACGCCTCCTTCTCAGGGCTGAATAAAGGGAAGTGAGGTTTGAAGTGAGTCCCAGCAATGGCCCACAGAAAACAAACATCCCTAGGAGACACAGTCTGAGAGTCTAGTAGCTCTTCAGAAAACCAGCCTCCCAGGCTTCCAGCAAGAAAGCTGAGCAGAGTTATGGGGCAATACATGGGGGCAAGAGGAGTGGTAGAGATTCCCCACAAGGGCTGGTAGAAACTCAGAGGCACAACTAGGGAGAGAAGTCCAGGTAGCTGGCCTTCACCTTTTCCGTTGTTGCCTCTTCTCCTTCTTCTTCAGCTGTTCCAGGTCCTGCTTGGCCCGTCGGAGGACATCAGAGGCCTCTGTCTCCACAGAAGCAATAGGGCTGCTTACCACACCCAGGCCCTGCCCTGGAGATGACCCTAGGGAGTATGGGGGCCGCGAGGAGAAACGGGACAGGCTGCGGCGAAGAGACTCGTTCATGGACTCACTCTCCAAGAGCTTTGTCCTGTGGACAGAGAGAAAAGGGGGAACCTTGGTTACAAAAGATCTGCTGTCATCAGGGGTGTAGGATATTCAAGCAGCCCATTCCCCAAGGGAAGAACCCCCTGGAAAGTCTAAGGTGGGATGATGGGTTTCTCCTCTTCTGGAACCTGAACCGCACATGTCATCTGGGTCCAGTGGCTCAGGGGATCTTCTCCCAGGCTGGCCCCTGTGGATGGGTACAAGGGAGACAAACACGCAGGGAGATGCCAGTGGAGAAGGATGCAAGAGCCAGCAGTAGCAGGGCTCACACTCCATGCATGTAGCATATGGGAGCCAGCAGCCACACAGACTCAGACAGGCCATGCCACAGATGCAATATCTTCACTTAGGATAAACACAGACATGGGATTTCTCCCAGGACAAAACCCTTTGTCCTGGGATCCTACAGATGTACAAGCCCATTGTCCCACTTTAAGAACCTGTGGAGCAGAGATGACACTTTTTTTCCCAGAATGATCCTGGCTATTTCAAGTTAAGCGGTGTGTGCAAATGATTGTCCTGCACCTGCTCTGATGCAAGTCAAAACCCTGGACAGCTAGACCAAAGATAAACCAATGTCTGTTTTTACCCTTGGCAATGTGGTAGATGACAATCTACTGGCCACACTGCCTCAATGAGATGCAAAGGCATCTTGCCACAGAGCCCAAGGCTCCCTTCTGGTCCTGAGAGGTGATAGAAGAGACCTGGAGAAAACCATGAGGAACCACCTTGCTGCTGAGGGATTTCCTTCAGCGTCTTAATTGCAATGCTAGGATCAATCGGCACCCAAAGAGGTGTAAGGTTTAACCTTCAGCAACCTGTGCTAGGCAGCAAGCTATTCCTGGGGAGCACAGCTGTCATATGGCTTTACAAGCAGAGGGGTGGCACCCTCTGCAGACGGTAAGTTGGCCCCACTGTGGGGAAGTCGGAGGGGTAATGCTGATTGATGCTGGCTGAGAGTCCAGCCCAGAATGAATGCCAGGAGTACTGTCTCCAGGGCTGTTGATTTCCACAGTGTCAAATCCATATTTATAAGCACTTCCTCTTCAATTGTGTTTACACAAATCCCTTCAAGGCATTTAACTCAGCAATTGGTCACAGCTCCGCAGAACGTGCTGCCAGCCCTGCGCTGGCAGGGTAGGGCAGGGGCAGGAGAGATGCATGGGACAGGGAGGCATTTCCACCCCTGAGTCAGGGCTATTCTTTATATTGCAGTCACCTACAGACCTTCACTGAGATCAGTGCTACTCCATGCTCAGTGCTGTGGAGACACCACAGGCCCTCCCTGATGACTTTACACCCTGAGTAGATGAGAGAGACAAAACGTGAGAGCAGAGGAAGTGACAGGTCCCAGGTCACCCAGTAGATCAGTGGCAGAGCTGGGGTTAGAGCTCGTTCTGGCAGCCACAATGCCAGTTCAGTGCCCTACCTACCATCTCATGCTGTGTCCTGTAGCTCTTCTAGGCTTTGGAGATATGTAACCTCCTAGCAGAGAGGTCGTCTCCTATGCAGTGGGCACCCACCTGAGTTCCTCGATCTCCCGGATGTAGTTCTGGATCAGGGCACCAATGGCCTCGTTGCCGTCACCTGGAGCAACAGAACTGGAGTCACGCTAAACCAAGGACCCCTATGAGAGGAGGCACTTCCCAGCCCCACAAGGGCCTAAGCCCTGGCCTGGCTAGCCTGAAATTCTGCTCCATTGGGTAAGTAGTTTTACTGTTGCTTCTCTATGATTCCCTTCCCATACCCACAGAGCCATCAGCCTCACCTGCCTTGGCCAGGATCAGATTGGCCTCCTGGCTCATCAAGTGGGTGACCCTGTTGTTGATGGCATCTATGGCCTCCTGCATTGCTTTCACCCGCATGCGCAGAGTGTTGTTCTCTTTCTGGAGCATGGCGTTCTCATGGAACAGGTCGCTGTAGCCCTCAGAGCCGTCCTCCCCGATGACGCGCTTACCCTGTGGGGAGAGGAGATGGTGAGACAGAAGGCAGCAGGAGGTCAAAGCAAATCCATGGCATCCAACATTGTGGAACCAGCCCTACCTGCAAGGCACCCAAAGGCTCCACATGATGGAGGATGGGTGCCTCTATGGGCCCCCACAGTAAGAAGAGCAGAGAAGACTTAGGACCCTAGAAAGGCGAGTATTCAAAACAGGGAGGGTGCTCAGGGGGCAGCAGAACAGGGGCCACTAGCAGTTTAAATGCCTTCCCACCTGAGGCTAGTAGCCTGGCCCCCATACCCAAGACCAGGAGTGGGCAAAATGTGGCCCGCAGGCCAAACGCGGCCTGCCAGGCTATTCGATCTGGCCCGTGGATCCCCTAAAAGATTTAGAAAATGAATATTTATCTGCCCCGGGTTGACTGTCACGTGGCCCTCAATGATTTGCCAAAACTCAGTAAGTGGCCCTCCGTCCAAAATAATTGCCCATCCCTGCTCAAGACATTCAGACACCTCCCAGTTTTGAATCTATTTGTTCTCATGCACAGCTGGGCAGCAGCCCTCTTCCCATTGTAAAGAAGGACCAGCAGTCAAGTGACTTGCCCAAGATCACAAGGAGTTTGTGGCTGAGCAGCAAACTGAACTCAGGTCTACTGAGCCCTAAGCTAGTGCACTAACCATTGGACCATGTTTCCTGCCTGCAGAGAGCACCTTGCCATGGGAGACGCATGAATCAGCTCAACAGCAACCTCCAGATGAGTTAGGGCTGATGCTCATGCATGAAGTGATGTCTCTGATGTGAAATATCAGACAGCTGTCAAACAGGAGGATGTCCCATCCTGACTGAGACCCCCCAAATCTTTCCGTATGTTCAGAGTGAGATACCTGCTCCCTTATATTTCCATAGCACTTTACAGATCCTAAAGTAACTGCAACCTACAACACCCCTGAAAGGCAGCCAGCTTTCAGGTGGCAACCAGCTGTCCTGGGTCATAGCCTACATGCCACTCAGCAGGGTGACATTGGACAAGACTGGCAGGGGTGGCACTGTCTACAGATAGCACCCAGAAAAGCTTTGTCCACAGTAAACAGCATTCAGTTCAAAGCTGAAGGGCTGAGTTGCTGCTGCTTGGACTGGAACCCATGGCTCCACAGAGTTCAGGGGTATCTGTACTGCAATGATTCTCGCTAATTTTTTTTTTTTTTACACTCAAGGCAGCCTCCATTAGACTCAAGGCACCTTAAAATGTCAGCTCTTAGTTTTCACTCACTTTCTAACTAAGGAAAAAACAGAGAAACTCTTCAGGTTCTGAGCCAAAATCTCTGGGTTTATCCTAAGAATCATGTTTGCACACCTAACGGTGCTAACATTGCATGGCAACCCACAGCACCCCTGAAAGGATCTCGAGACACCCCAGGGTGCTGTGGCACCTTGGTTGAGACTCATAACAAGATCATAATGACAAGTGTGTCCCTCTAGTGGACAGTCTCAGCAACCATAACAGCCTGCTACCTCAACCCAGTGACCAAAATCCCTCCTTCAGCCCAAATGGCAGCTTGGTGCTGAAGACCCTGGATTCAATTCCCACTGATGACCTTTGCTGCTGATGTGTACACAGCTGCAGTACCCGGCACTCCACCTGCTCATCCACCCCTTACCGCTTTGTACTCCATGAGCTCCATTTGGAGGCGGGCGATCTCAGCCCTCAGGGCGCTGATCTGCTGGCTGGTCTTGTCCTGATTCACCACCACCTTGTTCTTGATGTTGCGGGCCCGGTTGGCATACTTGAGTGTATTCAGGGTCTCCATGAAGTCCCGGTCTGAGGGGCTCACACAAGCAATCATGACGGTTTGGCTGGAAAGGATAGAGGGGGCTAATGAAAAGACAAGGGGCAACAATCCCTCCCTCTGCTGTGCCCCTGGGGCTACAATAACATGGGATTGGGCCACTGAGGTTCAGCCATTTTGAATGGTGGCTTTCCATTGGGACCAAGCTTGGCAATTTGAGTCAAGAAACCCCTTTGGCTTTCATTTACTTTCTCTCTCCCCCAACCCAATGAAATACTCTATAATTTGGGGTGGGGGAATATCAATCAGGTCTTGCCTCTGATCATTATGGGGTGAGCTCACAGTACAGGATGCAGCTGGCTTAGTGACAGCAAAGACCTGCACCAGCCTTGCTCGCTGCCTTCAAAGTGCTATCAGTGGACCCAGCCTGATCAAGCCACTGCAGGGCATTATACAGGCAGATGGGTTCCCACAGGGAGAATGGCACCACAACAAGAAGGAGGTGAGGTTGAAGCTCTCTCATGTTGGGAGGGCTGCTGCCAAGTCCCAGATGGCTAAGGGCTCAGCCGGATTTTGCAAGAGCTAATTCTGCAAAAGCTGGATAATTGCATCTGGTCCTTGGGAGCAAGAAAGGGACAAGACATTTACATTTCAAAGGCACCACTGAGTGGTAGCCAGGAGGATCCCCTGGTTCCTCATCAACCTGCCACCCCAGGAAGTCTACCCAGAACATCAGGTCCTTGAAAGACACGCCCCCCCCCACCCCATTACTCTGGACACTCACAGCCCTGGTGGGTGGCACACTCTGGGGGGAGCCCCAGCTACAGACAGCAGCTGGACAACTTGAAAAGCCCCAACTCAGGGTGCCTGGTACCTGTTCCCCCCAAGGGAGTCCTGGAGGAGTCGAGTCAGCTTCGAGTCTCGGTAGGGCACATGCACCACTTTCTTGCTCTGGTCTCCAAGGGCACTGATGACATTTCCCAAGGCCAGCTGCAAGACAGGGGAAAGGGCTGTGGATGCTTTGACATGGAGAAGTAGACCCTCTACTGAAAACAAAGCTCAGGGGTCTGGAGTCACCAACTTTCCAGTGCACACAAGGGAGCAGCTTTGGACTTCCTGCGTTGGCAGACACACAATGCAGCTCCCTATTTCTGCCCACCTACTGCCTCCACAACCCTGAGACCAGACCTAGAACCTCTACCTGCATGGGGACCTAGCCCCATGCACTTGCCGGTGCTGAGGACTTGATGACAAGTTTCAAACCACCAGAGAAGTATTTTAAGGTTGAACTGGTATCGCTCCCACCTGGCTCAGCCTCTAGCTCCTACCTGTAACTGCCTCCCACAAACAGCAGTCACTGGGCACTGCCATCAGGAAGGGAGTGGGACCTTCCAGATAGGGGTAGGGTTGGGCACAGATAGTCCTACTCCATAAAGGCTGCACAGGATAGCTAGTGACCACATCCATCCCTGCAGACCTAGGCAGGGATTTCAGGAGACAATTGTGGTGACATTAAACAGCAGGCTGGGAGCCAGTCTACCAGAGGGGACCTCAGGAATTGCCCATGTTCACTAGGCCCAGGACACAATCCCCTTTACATCCATCACAGCCCAGTCTCATCTCCTCTCTGCCTCTAAAAGGGAGGCACCAATGGCTGTACCAGACCACAGTTGATGGAGATCCCTTCTTTGGCTCTCTCGCCCGTTGCACCCGTCCGCTTCAGCCTCTCTGAGCCAGCCAGGTCGACAAAATGGAACTTGGCAGTGAGGGTCTCATATTCATTGGTGGGCTGGGGTCCGTCTGGGGGGCAGATCACTTCCCCATTCACCTGCAGTCCAAACACACCACAGAGTGAGAGCCTACCTGGAGCTATAAGTCTCACTAGCACTGATCCCTTAAGTCAGGCACCACTGCAAATCCAGGGCTGGGCATAAACTCAGGTATGGCCTTTCCTTCACTCAGGTCCAAGAAGGTCCCAAGCCATGGCACAAATCCTGCCTGTCAGTATTTGGATCTGCCCAGAGACAAGAATCAGCAGCAGAGTTTTCACTAAGCTTCCCTGAAGGCGAGGCCCAGCCCAGCTTCTTCCTGCATTCTAGACCCAAGATCCCAGACAGCTGCCAACATTTGCTGCTATTGCAGGGAAACAAGAGGTGCCAGTCCAGGTGCAGGTTTGCAAGCCTAACATATCTAAACCTGCTTCCTTGGCTTCCGGACAGCCTGTGATCATAGCCAAGAACCACCCTGGCAAGTGATCATAGCCAAGAACCTCCCTGACCTGAAATGAACAGGGAGGGGACACCTGCTGCTTCCCCTGCCTCCCCCATTACTCAGCCTTACCAGGTCTGGGCGGGCACAGACTCTCATCTGGCACAAGTGGATGGTGAAGATAGCATGGGAACGGGAGCTCTGGACATTCATCTGGGTGCTGGCTGTTGTGCGGGACAGAGCCCCCTGCTTTAGGCACTGGATCAGCTGCAACAATGTGGAAAGGGTTAAGAAGAATCCCCCAAACAACATGGGGAGAAGCATCTCCATATGGCCCGGCAGCTAGCAGCTGGCCCCAAATAGGTCCAACTGGAATGTGAAGCAGGCAGGGAATGTGTTTTGGGGAGCAGAAGGAAGGGCCCTGCAGTAAAAGCCTAGGAACAGCCAAGTGCATGAGGAATATGAGGCAGAGGTTTAGGCTGCATTCCTGTCTGAGTCTTTGGCAAAGCCAGACCCCAGGCAAGCAGGAATGGTGGAAACTAACCTGTGCTCTGCGGCAGAGGGCTTGAGACTCACCCAAGCACCATGTCAGGTGGCTTATTTATATTACACTAGATTCAGATCTGGGGATGCTGGAGGCTATACGGAGACAGACGTGGTTCCAGTCCCAGAGTCAGAAAAGCTGGAGGGTAGAAGGGAATACTGAGGCATTGAGAGGGGCTGGTGTCACAGGGTATCATCTCCAGGGGTGGCCATGAGGCCCCTGGAGTCCCTTTTAGCCCTTGCTCACTCTGTTTTCATTGGACAGTCACCCCTTCTCTCGCCTGCCACACCTTGTTGTAATTGTGTTTATATAAAGGAGGTTGCCCCAGGGCTTCCCAGTCTACTCTCAATCTCCCATGACTACCAGGTGTTTGTGGTTCTCACCTGAAGGGGTACTTGTATGGCTCCATTCCACCCCTACACCACACCCCATGCTCCCTCCTATACCATGCCCCATGCCTCGCAGGTTCCTCCAGGGGCAGATGACTCCATAATCAGCCCTGGCCACAGCTGCAGACTACCTCAGCACCAAAGTGGTAGGAGCACCAAGCCTCCTGTCACAGCTGAGATTTGCCCAAGGCCCCTCAAACAGATCAGTGGCAGAACTACGAATAGAAGCCAGGTTGCATTAGTCTTGGTCCCCGACTAGCACCCTTACCACTAACCACGCTGCCCCTGTGGCATCCTCTAATGTACAGGGAACACTGAGCCAGATTCAAACCTTGGATCCACCCATACTAGTCTTGAATAATGCAACAGGTGAACCAGCACCAGGCACCACACAGAGCAGTGTCTACTCCTAAAGCTGCCTGGACTGCTCTGAAACCTGGCTTCGGTGTGCAGCTCTGTCAAGACACCTGTGTGCCCAGAAGAAGGCCCCAGCAGCCTGATTTCATGCACCTGCATGCCTGGTGTCTGCAGCTGCCCAAGCCACCCATTCATCCCTCCTGGACCAGAGCTTGGTTAACAGCTCTTAAGGGTCAGAGAAAAGAATACTCAAACTCTTTTCAAGTGAGGCCACATACCCATGTCCCCAAGGGTACCCATGTCTCTGGGGGAGCAGGGCCAATCCAAGCCTCCCTGGGGAAGCACAACATGGAAAGGATAGGGGAGTGGACTGAAAGCGCTTCTTCTCTGGCTACAAGTCAGGAGGCAATTAACCCTTTGTTCAAGCTACCATGGGTTCTCTCTCCCATTGTAAGGCTTTGTGCTAAGTGTGGGGAAGAGATGAAGGACCATCCCCTTACCCTGGGAGACAAGACTAAAAACAAGTCCTTGAGACAGCCCTGGGTGCTGGTGGGAGGGGCAGAGGACATATAGCCAAGCACCCTCTCCCTCTCTGATCTCATTTAGGGCTAGGAATGCAGCAGACTAAACCAAAAGTGCATGGTGTTCCCGTGCACTGCCGTTACACTGCAAAGGAGCATGCAGGTAGCTGACCCATCGTCCCTCCAGTCTGCCTTATCCTACAATCACAGGATACCTGACCATCCTAGCAAGAGCCAGACCTAACAGGGGCAGTGAGCAGTCCTGGCCTGCAGAGTGCTGAATGTCCCCTACTCTGTGGGAGAAAAGGTGATGCTGCACTTCCCAGAATTGGTACCCTCCTTTCCAACCCTAACCTATGAGCCGTTTGCCCTTCACTCGCTCCCTACCCACCAAATACAGAACAGCATTCAAGGGGGCTGGGATCTGTGTATCACACGGGACCCCACACACCACTCACCTCATCCTGCGTGTTGATGAGGCGTGAGGTGACACCAGTTGTGTAGATCCCACCATTAGCATCCTCGTGGATTTTGATGTTGGATTTCCGGTGGCGGGAGTCAGGGTCCCTGGCGCTGTCAAACAGGTCCAAGATCTCCTCATTGTACAGCTGAGGCAGAAGGAAGGGAAAAAGCATGGAGTTACTGACAGCAGGGGTCTCAGAGGAGCCCAGCATATGAGTTTGGGGCTGACTTCCTACCATGCCATGAAGGTATGAATAGGGACCATAGTCCTCCTTCCCCTTGTTTCCATCAAACCCCTGGAGTCTTGCTACACTGCAGGAGGGAGCGCACTACAATGCACATGTAGGCATCACTGCAACAATACCAGCTGCAATTTGCTGGTTGGTCCTAACTGCCAGCTAAGCCTGCTGACCCCCAGGATGGGAGCAGGAAGTCTCCCTGGGCTCTGAAGCTTTCTAGCAAGGTCTAAACAGGAATAAGAGGAGACAAAGGAAGAGCCCTTGAGACAGGAGGAAGCAAAATCCCTCTCTCAAGTCTACCCGCGAGTGTCTCCTTGCTGCATGAAGCAGTGCTGCAGAGCTGCACACTTCCACAATGCTGTGCAGCTGTCACCTGGCTAGGGAGAGGGAACATACCTCTAAGCAGTGACAGAACCAGAAGAACCCAGGAGTCCTGGGTCCCGGCCCTGGGTCCACCCTCTCGACCCTGCTTTGTTTTGTCTTAAAGCTTACCAAGAGTGGAAAGAGCCATGACTCTGGCCCTGCAGGGTGAGTGTTCCCTGTATGAGCAGAAATCATTCATTTCACACTGCTGCACGCCTGGAGACCCTGCTTCCTCTGGGGCCTGGAGCATCTGGGATTGATTCCCAGCATCCCTGACAGCATAATTATCCAGAGCAATCAGGCAGACCCTGGCAAGTCAGGCATGCTGGCAAGGGTCATGGACTAACCGACCCGCCCCATTGGAGAAAGGGGCTAATTAGGGCTTATAGCCAGGAGCTCACAGACAGCAGGGAGCGGGAGGCCTATTCTCCCCTCCCCACATTAGCAAAGCACCAGCACACTTCCTTGTTCCCCTGCACAGCAGCTCAGGTATAGCCTATAGGACAGGCCACTAGAGGCTCAGGACTGAACATGGGGCAGAGAGTTTTAGTCCCAGTATGGGGGGAAAGGTTCAACAGGGCAGGGGTGCTGGTGCAGGTAGCGACAGTCCAGCAGAAAGGCCAGGCTCACAACCCCAGGGCTATATCCCCACTGTACTGATGAGGGCCTGAGGCACGGAGAGAAAAATTGCCCTGCCCGGTCACACCAAGTGTGGTAAAGCAGGGTTATAGTTAGGAAACCTGGGTCCAATCCCACAAAGCCCATCCTTCCTCCCTGGCCTGCAGTGCAGCTGGCCCCGGCCAGGTCAGGTAACCTAATTTTCCCTCCGTCGGCTAAGCAGAGATGAATGATGTTGGGCATGTCATTCACACAAGAGGCATCTGCTCTCTTGTGTGAATGACATGCAACATGAAGCTAATGAACATGCTGCTTGGTAAGCTGATGGCCCAAAGGGAAGCTGTGCTGGTGCCTGGCTGTTTATGGCCTTATTCTCTGCCGTTTTAGATTCAACAGTTTTGTGAATTCAGCAGCACCCCATTCAAACACCAGCTTATTATAGTGTTGCTTCTTCACAGCAGGGCTGGGTAGCGGGGTGGGGAGGGAGAGCATCCAGGCAAAGCTGAGCAAGAGACCGTGTTCATCTTCTCACACCTCACAGCACCCTTCAAAGTTGCACCGTTGCCACATCACCCCATTGAGAATTGCTACTCTAGGGACAGAGGACTGGAGTCATTGGGTAGATTAAATGGCCCTGGACTGGAGCTGGGGGACTGTTTTCCCAACCCAGACTTCACAAGTGCTTCCTGTGATGACATATGGGATTTACTGTAACATTTCTGTGTTAATTGCGTTCTTGTTAATTGTGTTCTTGTTAATTGTGTTCTTGTAATAACATTGTGCACCTCAGTTTTCCCCAGCTAACTTATACAAGGGAGGGAAAGAATGGGTTAAAGCAGGGTGCCACAAGTGGCATGGGCAGCCTGTGTGCATGCAACAGATCAGGGAGAGGGCAGACAGGGCAAGGAGTAGAAACCAGAGCAGCAAACTGGGCAGGGAGGAGAAAGCAGAGCAGCAGGTTGGGCAGAGAGAGGAAATTGGAGTGGCACTTGGGGAAGGCATGGGCTTAATTTGTGGCATGCCTGCCAAAAAGGTTGGTCCCTGCTGAGTTACAGAGACAGTGAAGCCAGAGTTGCCTACTGGGTGGGACAGGACAAGATGCAGCACCAGCATCAACAGGATTTGATTAGCTTGGCTGGCACATCAGCAAAGGTAGGATAGCCACTCCAGAGAAGCTGAAGGGATAACAATGGGCAGAGCAGGTTCAAGCAGGGTGGCTAGGTGGCCTGGAGAAGGGGAGCAGCTGAGCAACTTGGAGGTTGAGCAGCTGGGCAGACTGGAGAGAGAAGAGCTAAGTTAACTTTGGGGTGCTTAGGGCTGTGCAGGCTGGGTTGGGGACAGGGTCTTCTTACTCTGTGACCTTTATGCCAATAAATGCTTTCATCAAAGCAGAGACGTCTGCTTTGCTGCTTGGATCTTTGCACTGCACGTGTTCTCCCCAAGAAGACAAAGCCCTCTCAGGGCTGAACTAGAAGCTCCTGGAGTCAGAGTCACAAAACCACCAAGGAGGTCATGGACCAAAAGACAAGGGTCTTGCTCTAGGCCCTTGCTCTAGAAGCCAAGCCTGGGCTGGCTTCAGGGGGCACCCTAAGAGACCAGACAAGGCTGCAGTGGTCCTGAGCAATCACTCCCAAGGGGGACTCCATGACTTTCCCACTCCATATAAAGATGGCACCAAGGCTTTCAGTGTTTTCCAGGGGAGAGAAAGAATAGATTCATAGATATTAGGGTTGTCAGGGACCTCAGCAGATCATCGCGTCGAACCCCCTGCCCTGGGCAGGAAAGAGCACTGGGGTCAGATGAGCGACCCCAGAACAACCCAGAGCCTGGGAGTTGGGGTACTTGTCCAGGATGCAGGAGACTAACACTTCAGCTTGTGCTGTGAGTGAGTGCGATGTCTCACAGGAACACAAGTGCCAGGACCACCAGGCCACTGGCTCTCCTGGGGTGGGGGTTACGGCTGCTTCTCACTTTGACCAGAAATCCCACTGTAGATCCAAGAGCCCTTTCCAACCAGAGCTTCATGGAAGCCAGTCCCTCCCCTTGCAAGTTTTCTTTGCACAAAGCTGCATTTTCAAACAAACAAACGAAAAAGGCTCATCAGAAAAGGCCCCAGCATTAGGCCAGGCTCTCGCCCGCCCAGCCCCTCCACAGGCATTGTTGCGTCAGTGCTCTGCTTGCCAGCTCAGGGCTCCTGCATCAGGGAGCTTGCTGCTCCTGGCCTACTAAGCCTGGTGAGTGGATTCGCTGCAAGTAGCACAAGCGCTCGGCTCAAGGGGCTGGGGAGAAATGACCACAGATGATCTCTGTGGATAAAGGCTAATCTGTTCCACCCTGTCCCTGGGGGAAGCCAGCTCCTAGAACAGTAAAACCTCCCCCTAAGGAGCCTACTCAGGGAGGGGAGAGTCACAAGATACAGATCAGCCTGCAGCTGCAAGGGCTAAACTCCCTCAACCCTGCATGCAGCCGCTTCCGGAGCGCTAACTGTCGCCTGAGCTACAGCTACAGCGTCTGCTATGTGCCGACAGAAGCACCTTTCCTAACAGCAGTGTCCATGTCCCATAGCACTGAGGGGCAATTGCTTTGGGGAGGAGGAGAATTTTGCCCATAAAGAAGGGGCAGGCAGAAGCCCCTAGAATAGCTACCCTGGGACAGCCCCCTGCATTTCACCGCTGGCTTTGCAGGGAGTCTAGGGCTCCCTGGCGCTGTTCTGGCCTGCCATGCAATCCTGGAGCTACAGGCAGCTCTGTCTACACCAGCAGTCTCCCACCAGTACAAGTCCACTGATGACGGTAACTGGATGCAGGCTGGGATAATGGACAGTGCATTGGACCGGGGCTCCAGGCACCCAAGTTGTGTTCCTGGCTCTGCCACAGGCTTGTGCGTGACTGACAGGGACAAGTCATTTCCCACCTTTGTGCCTCAGTTTCTCCCCACTATAATAGTACTGACTGCCTTTGCGAAGCGCTCTGAGGTCCATGGAGGAAGAGTACCTGAGCACTGTCTACGCTAGGGGCTTCTTACCACCACGACAGAGCTCACTGCCCAGATCAAGCTGGGCAGAGCAGGCTAAGGATACAAACAAGCAACTCTGAATATACTGAAGCAAGTAATCTGGAGGAAACTCCTGCCCCCCCAGGCCTCTTGCAGCCAAGGCATCAAAAGTCTCTGAAGCAAAAAAGCCAAAAATATCCCAAATGAAAATAATTTTTTTTTTAAAAATTGGCTACAAACAAACCAGAACTCCACAGGCAGGCCAGGGCCTCTGCAAAACAGCTCCAGTGCCATTAACCCACGCAATGCCGCAGCCTCTGAGGTCCTTCCAGCTAATCCAGCAGCCTCATTGCTTTGCCAAAGCCACAGGCACTGAAACCAGAAGCTAAGCACCCACTGCAGCCACCACACAGGCCTCCTCCTGCATGACTGCAGCATTGGGCCTTCTGAGTCTGTGGCCTCTTGTGCTGAATCCAAGCAAGCTCAATGAGGCCAGGGAAAGTCCCAGATCCTCAGTTACTTCAAACAGTCACAGCGAGCCACCCAGATTTACACAACCCCATCCACTGATCGCTGCTCTCCCAGAGGGGATGTTGTTGGGAGGAACTGAGGTAAGGGAAATCCAGGCTGAATAGCAGGAAAGACTTCCTGACAACCAGGGCAATTAGGTCCTGGGAGCTTATGGGGCTGAAATCCTACCACCCTAGGCATTTAATGAGCAGGCTAGGCTGGAGCCCCAGGGAACGGGCTCCCTGGAGCTGCCAGCCAGGGCAGCAGTGTGTGGGCTAGATGGGTTTCATCCTGTTTCCCTGACTGCCTCTCTCTGATTCTCTGGCTCCCTCTTCAGCTACAGTCAGGGTCCTTGCTAGGGGTCTGCTACTGGGGAGCCACAGCTACCAGCACCAGCTAACTGGAGGAGTGGAGCTCTCTGC